GACTTCACTTTGCACTTCTGTTTCCACGTTTCAGGCTGGTCACAGGGAATAGATTAGGAACCAAGTTCCATGTCACCGTTTTCTTGTCCGAAGGGCTATGTACGGTACTTACTGTACCTGGACTTAGGTGCAGACAATTATGTTTAGAGGAGTTAGACGCTATTCTTCAATGATACTTTTAGGCCGTTAGGATTATGGCCAATAAGGGTGTCCGGTAACAAGAAGACACGTCATTTAGTATTCGGGAGTCGTTAACCGAGCATTCTATCACTAGATAAGAATCGCGGTAATAACCATAATGCACCGCAAATGGCTATGAGACCCTTATTAAGATCACAGAACAAGTAACTTAAATAGCGGAATTAAAATGACATGAGACGTACCTCAAACAGCTCGGGGGCGGCGTATGGGGGACTGCCACAAAAAGTATCCAACTTTTTTCCCTGGCAAAAATTGTTCGAAAATCCAAAGTCGGCTATTTTCACATTCATATTGGCATCCAAAAGCAAATTCTCGGCTTTCAAATCGCGATGGACTACGTGCTTTTGATGACAGTACTGAACTGCAGATACGATTTGGCGGAACTTGGCCCGAGCCTCCTTTTCTGCCATTTTACCGTGTGTGACGAGAAAGTCAAAGACTTCACCTGGGTAAAAAAAATGGTTATTGAATTGGCATTGATGGAGGAAATGGAATTCACTGGTGCACTCTCTTTTACTTGGAGAAGACGGTGTTGGGCACGTCAGTCGATTACTACTATTTAGATGTTACCACGGAACTATATATTACACTTACAAAGAGCTACTTAAGCTAACAGACTGCTAACTATATATTCAATCCGAAGGATATTCAAAGTTGGCTTTACCTGCTCTTCAGGAAGAAAAATTATCAGAAAAATCAAACGAGTATTAGGCAGATAACGGTCTCTCCGCATATTGGGAGAAGATGGACGGGAAGAAAACATTTCCCGGATTTGAGGGAGAATTTTTCCAATCAAAGCAGTTATGTGTGAGCCGCGAGAGACGCGAAACACTAATGGCCATTTGGCTTAGTTTCACGTGAAAAAGTAATTTGGAAAGCTGGAGAAAATGTAGGAGGCCAGGTAAAGCATAGAAGACAATTTTTGGACATCAAATGTGTGTATTGAAACTTATGTCTTAGGTACCAAGAGGGGCTGATCTTGCGATCGAGGTTTGGAGAGAACTCATGGGAAATGGGCCCCGACAGCCTAATGATATCCACCTAGCAGTTTTTTCTTCCTAGGGGGTTTCATCTAAATCTTAAGGAACAAGTGGTTTTAGAAGAAAAGTGTCATTTATTGAAGTGTCTCAGTGTAGATTTAGATTTATTTGGCCCCAGAGATTCGAGTATGATTTAATGGGGAACTAGAAGCATACAACAGCAGACTTTAAGAGAAACAAGTGAACGCCAGCCGAAGAACCAGTAAGTCACCGCAAAGAAAAGATTAACAGACATTAGTAACTCGTTTTTTTTGGAGATACGGTCTGAAGGCGTTAGGGAATACACAGCCGGGATATATACATAAATGATCAAGCCAAAGCAATATTACAAAGTTGAGTTGCAAATTATTAGGAAAGTTGTCAGATTGTACTATGCAGCACTGGAGGTACGTGTAGCATTATAAACTTGCGATTAAAAAAGAACGAAAAAAATTGATGGCAATAGGCAGAAAATTATAGATTCGTGAAAAATTAATGCGTTTTTGTGAAAAAAAACTTCAAAACGTTTCAGTTGAAGACTCACCCCCACTTGCATATTCCATTACCAAGTAAAGAACTTTGTCATTTGAAATAATTTCGAACAACTTCACAATATTCGGATGATCCAGCATTTTCATAATTTGTACTTCCCTGAGAAGCTGAAAGAAATCGATGAAGTATACCTCATGACAACGAACCTTTTGCCGGCTCGATGGGCTTAACTGAGTTTTGTCAATAATC